TACTGATTTTTCGTGTCAAATAGCTCGTGCCAAAGTGTTTTTGGCACGGATTTGGCATATTTCTTCCAAAATCCCTGACAAAACCCTGTCAAAATCTCTGTCAATCCCATGTTTTTTTTGTAATGTAAGCCATCGAGGGACCAAATAAATTAAGATTTTTCCAATAACATATACGAGACAAATTAATGAAGGATACCATCATTGTATTTAGTGTGTTCACTTGCAATTACACCGTAAAAAGTGAGAATGAGACATTGTGTTTCGTTTTTTAAACGTTCACGTGCTTGTGGGTTTATTTACTTTCAATTTGTTCCTAGAGATTAAGTACTTGAGGGTTAAAATGTAGTTGACTTACCATTGTTCAAAGTTAAAATTTGATATTTTTCCTGTAGCATTCTTCCTTATTGAGTACTCTATAAATCAGTGCACGTTATGGTTATGTTTTTGACACGTGCAACTTAAATTTTAGTTGAACATCAAAGAGTTAAAATTGAACTTTAAAGTTCAATTTTTTGGACTTGACAAAAAAAATAATTTATTGGGTTAAGTGCTATATTTTGTCACCATGACATTAAGAGAAAAAGTGCAAACTATAAAAACTCACGGAGAACAGTTCAACAAAATGTACAATGGTTGCCCAAATTATATTTAAATTTGAAATGCATAAAAAGATATATATATATATATATATATATATATATATATATATATATATATATATATATATATATATATATATATATATATATATATATATATATATATATATATATATATATATATATATATATATATATATATATATATATATATATATATATATACATACACACACACACACACACATGTAGAACCAAATAAATTATACACATATACTTTCTGTTATTTTTATTTTACAATTGTATACTAATTTAATACGTAGTAATCGGCTAATTCCATTTTTTTGTATGTCAAAATAGCTTTTTATGGAAATTCAGAAAAAATAGGGTTATGCATCATATAGAAAAGGTATAAAACTTTAAATAAAAAGTACAAATAGTATGAAAGATGGGGGAAAAGGAAAAAAAATACAAAAGAATTGAAAATGAAAAAAGTAAAACAAGAAGAAAGGAATATGAAAAACTAATGTGGAAGTTGTCAAAATTAAAAATGAATGAAACAAATAAAAGAACTCATAAAAAGTAATCCTTGACAAATATAAAAAATAGAGGGAGTAACAAATATGGATTAATAAATTGAAGAAGATTATATGTTGCAATAAATTGGTCGTGATAGACTAATTACTAATTCAAATAGCATGCATAGTTCGCAAGAAAGGCTGTCATTTTATCGAAAAAATTGGTCATGATCGACTATATGTGAGGGGTTGTGTGGAGCTTCAATTCTATCGAAAATTTTACTGTATTTTCTAATTCTGTTTTAATTACACATTTTATTTTGTTGTTTATTTTTTGTTAAAGACTGTGTTACTAAGTTTGTGATAGCGACTGAAATTTTGGCTATTCATGTTATTTATTCAAGGGTGGCCATCTTTTAGAGGTATGGAGCCAGGACATTAGACCGGTATAAAGAATATTTTTGAATTTTTTGTTACACGATTTTTTTTACCTTAAAAATAAAGTCATTTTTTTGCCCTCCTAGATCCACCATGATTGCCTTCTCCTAGATCCACATGACCTCTATATCAAATTGTAGAGTTAAAAGTTGTGTTTGGAGGAGAAAGGTTGTAATCACCATGTAAAGATCCTAAAATAAAAAATAAAAAATAAAAAGATGTAAAGATCCTAATGATATCAATATTGATAATTTTCTATATATAAATTAACATATTATTAAACTAGCTTGGTTTGACAAATTTTCAATAGACCGGGACAAATAAGACTCGAATAAATTAGACACGATCACTCTAGAATACACTAAATTGCACAGATTAAATATGACAAGTTGAAATCGCACAAGATCAATAAGATAAAATCATCAAATATCATTTCAAATACGCATGTTCTTACTTAATTATTCATATTAGACGATGTGTCTCCTAGAATTGAAGTTATTCATCTCGTTAGTTGTTCTTAAGTATCACAATGGTCAATTATAAAATAATAAAGTGTTATATTAACAGCCCGTTTGGTGACTCTATTATTCATCTTATAAGCTAGGCTTATCAACCAACTCTTTAATCAAATACGTAACTTTTGATTTCGCACGCTGAATTGTGTAATAATAAGAAAAAGTAAGACTGACGTTACTTTTCTAGCTGTATAGGATGAATTTATTGCAGATGACCAATTTAGCTATTTTTTCTTTATTTTATTAATAAAATATATTTTAAATATAATTTTTTCACAAATCAGCAGAATCAACCAATACAACCACTTCAACCAGAACTTTATAAATTTCAGTAGAATCAGTTGATTCAGCCAATTTCAGTTGATTCAGCCAATTTCAATGTTTGACCACTCCTCCTGTCAAATCTTTTAGGATGAAATCATGAGCCTTAGCATGATATCAAAGTTAAATCGATTCATAAATATAGTGTGTGCCATATGAAAAAATGACAATGATTATAAAAATGATAACGATGAACCGATAAAACTGAATGACGACAAGATTCAAACCACAAGATTCAGATGAAATATCTGATCATGAGAATGGATATGATGTTGAAGTTCCATCTCGCTAATTAAATTATGAAGTAATTAAATCAACTATAGATATTGAAGAAAAATTAAATTTGGTTTAAACTCATTAGAACAGCTTAAGATGTTTTCTCAAATTAAAATTATTTATAAAATTTTTATCATATACGAAGTCTCTCTCTCTCTCTCTCTCTCTCTCTCTCTCTCTCTCTCTCTCTATATATATATATATATATATATATATATATATATATATATATATATATATATATATATATATATATATATATATATATATATATATATAGAATAAAGATCAAATGAGAACAATGCTTAACGTGAGAACGTGAGAACGCCACGTTTACCCCAACGTGTTGCACAATGAAGCTCGTATAGTGCACATTTTCGTGTTTTCATAATAATTACCAAAATATCACCGTATTTATTCATATAGGCTAAATGCGAGCAAATTGAAAATGTGCAACAGAAGAACTCCATTGTGCATCATATTGATTTAAATGTGAGTGTTCTCACGTTCTCACGTTAAGCATATATATATATATATATATATATATTTGAGACTCAAAGTAAAGGAAATCATTTCGTTAGTTTTCTTTCTCCTTCGCATATGTACCATTCTGAATGTTCCAAAGACATGTGTTGGTCTACACAATAAATTACACGCCATGGATGAAAGTCATTGATTTTTACCTTTTACAAAATTAATTGATTAAAAAACATTTTGGTCAAACTATAAGCAACAAAATTAAATGAAAAAGTCCCATGAAAAGTCAAAGGAAGTTAGAAACACTCATTTCATTTTAACCATATACGATAGTATATCCCATATAGATTATTATGCATATATTAGTTCAAATAAAAAAGGGAGAAGTACGAAAAAAGTACTTTTGTTGGGCTCGTTTTCAGATAGGGGCATGTGTTTCATTTCTTATCAAAATGGTTCATGTGTTTGAACTTCGTTATCACAAGAGGGTTCTGACGCCTCACGCCGTTAGAAATCGCGGAGGAAGACGATGAACAGTAACTCCGACTTTCAAAAATGTCAAGAAAAATATCAGAAGGTGCGCCTCAACAAGACGATCGCTATGTCATCTTTCTTTTTTGGATCCAGCCACCCTTGTCACTGAAAAGTCTACCGAAAAAGTGATACTAGCGAATTCATTATTAAAAACAATCCATACAAATCTGAAAAATCCAAAGACACTAGTGGTTTGGTGGTCATCTTGACGAGGCTCACCGATTCCGGTATTTTTCGTTTAATTTTTTGAGCACTTTTGATCGAAAATCAGAGTTACTGTTCATCATCTTCCTCGCACGTTTTTAACGACGTGACCCTCTTGTGACAACATAGTTCTAATACATGAACCACTTTAATAAAAATGAAATACATGACCCTATCTAAAAACGGGCTCAATCACAGATATGGTACGTGGTGCAACGAATATGATGAGATCTAATAACTTTAATAAAATTTTCTAAATAGAACGAAAAATATAGATAAAGTGCACTAATATGATTATCATTATTTTTCCTAAAATAGAACTCATTCAATCCTAATTGGAAAATGTTTATACTTTTAATAGAATCAAATAACTACTATTTTGAAAATAAAATATAATTACTCCTATTTATACATTTTGTCAATATTTTAGTTCTATTTGGAATAATTTCCTTAATTTTAAGTGTGTCAAAAATATACCCTAACAAGATATATTGAAGCATTTTTTTGGTTATCTCGTAATATATCTAGCTAAGATCTCCAACCATACCTGGTTTCCATTTTAACAGTAGTATACTCCTACTATCGTATTATATAACTGAAGTTTTCTCAACATACATTAAGCGAATGTCTAAAATGCGTTTACTTTAAAAAAGCATTTTTTAAAGTGATTTTTGAAAAAGTGATTAATACTAAAAGTTAGTAGTATTTAGAAAAAAATTGATTTTGAAAAATAAAAGTCGGTAGTGTTTGGTAAAATATGTCTTTTATGTGTAATAAAAAAAGTAAAAAAAAGTTACTTTTGGTTTTTGAGTGTTTAATTTAAGCAGAAGTTGTAATTTTTTTAAAGACATAAGTTATCATTTGAAAACACTTTTTTCAGCTGAAAATCATTTTTTTTTATTTTTTTTGCGAACATACCTTAATTGTTTGAGTAATACTATTTCCATACTCCCAAATCTATAGAGAGGGGACATGAATTGGACATCAAGCATTTAAGCTATTCTACAAAAACATCACGTACAGTATTTGTTTATGAAGATATACTGTAGAATTGGCAATTGTCAACACCTAGCTAGTAGCTACCCTATTTACATTTAAAATTTTCTATATAATTAATACCCGGCTTTTCAAATGAAAGCAAGCTAGCGTTTTCCTTCACCTTCGATTAAATGCGATTTTTTTAGTTATTAATTCGTTGATAAGTTTTAAAAATCATTCAGCAGGCAGATCATGCATGCATGAGAATAAATATTTTTTTTCCACATATAATATAGAAATTAATATTATTAAGCTATATATACATATCAACAAATTATTTGACATACATACGTTGATCCATATATAGATAGGATATATAGAGAAGTAGAGATGAAGGAAAACGGCGGCGGGAGAAAGGGCGGCGGGGCATGTGGCGTGGCGGCTTCTCCATGCGCCGCATGCAAGCTGCTGAGAAGGAGGTGCGCTCACGGCTGTATTTTCGCTCCGTATTTCCCGGCCGACGAGCCGAACAAGTTTGCCTGTGTCCACAAGGTTTTTGGTGCTAGCAATGTCAACAAGTTGCTCCAGGTATTTCATTTTTTCATTAATTAATTAATATAATATAATATAATATAAAAACATTAATAATCTTGATTAATTGCTGTAAATGCTCCTCCATTAAAATTAAATTTCATATTAATATAAATATCACAAAAATTTTGTCATGATTATGTCTTGAGAAATGTACAAAACAAACTATTGTAATTAAAATATGTAGAACACAGGAAATTGATTACTGAGTGATCAAATTCTAATTTTACTAAATGGACACATTGAATAATTTGTGTTGACCGATGTACAGTGATTTTTCCTTAAATTTCATTTAATTAAAAACTATGGACACAAATGTGACTTATGTTACTACAATTATATAATCACGGTAAATTTGAACATCGTTAAAGTCACTAAAGTAACAATAATAGTCACTATAGTAGTTTGATTATATCATATTTATATACACTATATCTTCATTTTTTTCGTGATATATTTATCATTATTTCTAATTTAATTTATATTTTGCCTCCTTCTCTAACTCACCCAAAATATTGAAATCAAACTTTTTCACCCTCTCTAATTATTGTTTGCCATGTGGCAAATCGATCGATTCTTTATTATTTGGCAATTGTTTTAACCCTTTTCATTATTTATCCACTTTAAAAAATATCAATTTTGTTTGTAAGATCTTTCATATGGTACCAATATTTCATATAAAACATTTAAACAAAATTCAACTAAAAATGACTATTTGGGAAAACTTTTTTCAATTTTTTATATACAATATTGATACAATTGGAAATGACTATTTTTATATACTTTTTTCATATTAAAAACTTTTTTAAAACCTGATTTTTTTTTAAATTTGGATAATAAATAAAAAAGATTACACTAATTTAAAGAAAAAAAGAAAATGAAATGCGACATGGCAACAAATGAAGAAAGAGGATGATGTTCACCCTCTTTAGAGGGATATCGATGATGTTCACCCTCTTTTGAGGGGTGAACAAAATTGCACTCAAAAAAATTAGGGCCTAGGTCTATTACTACTCTATTACTGATAAAGTTTGAAACCTTGGTCGTCCAAAAGGTTGAATGTCCAACACCAGGGCCCTAAAGTTTGAAACCTTTAAAACGTGTTTGGTAGTTGTTTTTTGACTTGACAACTATGGAGTAACATTTTTCAAATGCTACATTTTTTCAAGAATTAAATGTGTAATGGTCAAAATAAGTACGACATAAGAGATAATGTGACTTTTTTTTTATCATTTTAACATCCAAAAAGTAACATTCTTCTAAAAAAAATAAAAGGTGAAATGATAAATAATATGATAAAGTAGAAAATTAAAATGTCAAAGAAATTTAATTGAGAAAACATTCATATTTTAGCAACACAAAAACTAGACTATATCTTACAAAATAGGATGGAGGAAGTACTAAAATTTGGTGAAAACTATTATGGACTAAAATATAAATAGCTTTTCGATTATATAATGTATAATAATTATTTAACAAATACAAATTAATAATTGATTGTGGGGACATTGATCATATTAGACATTATAGTTACATGTAAATCTCATATTTGACTCTAAAATTTCAAATAGACCAAATAAGCATGAATTCAACATTTCTGGCCATTTTTGGAAACCCAAAGGGTTTCCATTTTCCATCAATAAAAACCATACTATTCCTTTTTCTTTGTTTTATACCAAATTATAACTTAATTGATGTATTTAGATTTAGAATATATAATTTGATGTTTCAATTAAGAAAATATCATAAATATTACAGAGTACTAGGTAAAGTGTAACTAAATTCTTTAATTTTGTTAATTCAATTTAACAAGCTGTTATTTCCCAAGTTCAATAAATTAAAGATAATATCAAATGATAGGTCCAAAATACATTTTGAACTTCTTAAATATGATATGCTCTTAGTTCAATTAATTCAACTATCCTAAAATCTCGAATTATATGTTCTAAAACTAAATGCTATAATACATCAATTAAGTTAGTCTATTGACACTAAAAGAATGAAAGAAAAATAAAACTAACGATTTGGATTGATGGAAGAATATAATCGTAAGTGAGTGCCCAAAAGTGACGGGTTATGAACATTGATGGTTAATATGAAATTCACATGTAATTATAGTGTCCAATTTGGTTTACATAAAATTTTAGTGGCTAATATGATGATTCACATGTAACTAATGTCAAATTTGATCCTTCTCTATGGTTGTCAATTTTCATTGGTTCATAATAGATATTCATTCTATTCAAATTTACGGTCCTATATAAATAATGCATAATCTCTTAAGTATTTCTCATCTTAATAATCCATCTATTGTTCTATATAGTAAACTTGAGTTAAAAAACGATGATGTGTCAACTTCTTATTGGACAATGCAAATTCTATTATCACTATGATCAAAACAAATAATTAATTTAATGTTCACCACAATTCAAAATCCTGCACTACAACTAATTTAGAGCAAAATGAGGAGAAAATATCTCTCTTTTTAAAAGTGATATAACTTTTATATTTATAATCCAATTTTAACAAAAAATATATCAAAAAATATATCAAAAATATCTTTCATATAACATCAATATTATATATTTGTATATAAAAATACAAAAATCCATTATTTTATATACCAAAATTGGGTTAAAAATTCTCTAATAATTGTATTAACAACATAATATGTATTAACAACACAAATAACACTACCGCTTAAAATGGAAGAAAAATCGATCAAATAGATCACCTAATTCAACATGATATATATTTCTATCGCTCATCTTACGGTACCATAACTATAGGATACCAATTTATTATCAACATGATATCGATCCTAAATGCATCACTTATTTGAACAATTGAAAGACTATTCTATGATTTTCTATCCCATGTTAATTGTTAATATTATTGAAATACTACGTATTAACATAGTATTTGAAAGATAATAATTTAATTTGTTGTCGCATCTTAATTTGAATTGGGAGCTAACACATTAGTACCCAACAACACCCACACTATAACTATGGCAAAACCCCAAAATAGGACTTGTTATTATGTTTTTATTCCAAAATAGAACCATATTACTCCTATTAGAAACATACCTATTTTTCATTCCATTCTTACCCCTTCTTTTAATATGATTAAAAGGTAGTCAAAAGTCATAATTAAATGTTTAATTCATAATAAATCCGAAAAAATTAAAAAATCATTGAAAAATAATAAAAATTAATAAAATATTTATAAAATAAAAAATTAAGTTTTTATTTTATAAAAAAAATTAAAAATTAATAAAAATAGTAAAAGTCCATAAAAACATAACAAAAATATGGATGCCTCCGACCAGTGTAAAAATGCCATTTTTCTGAAAATTACAAAAAAATGGCATATTACTCTTTTGAGAACGCCAAAATTTTCATTGAATCTGCCATAAATGTGGCATTTCTAATGCATGTGGAATTTTTTTCCCCGGTTACCGGAGATGGTGGTGCTGGGCGGAGAGGTTTTTTTATAGCGTTTTTTAGTTTTTTTTTAGTTTTTTTTTTAATTTTTTAAATTAGATGCCTTTCCCACCACTTGTACACCCTACCTGCACCACCACCTCCGACCGGTGTAAAAAATGTCATATTTTCTAAAACTGCCATTTTTTCCTGAAAATGCCAAAAAACTGCATATTACTCTTTGAGAATGCCAACATTTTCCTTGAATCTGCCATAAATATGGCATTCATAATAGATGTGGCATATTTTTCCGCTAGTGACTCAAGGTGGTGGTGTTGGGGCGGTAGAGGTGGTGGTGATTTGTTTTTGGGCGTTTTTAATTTTTTTAAAAAATTATTTTTGTTTTTAAAAAACTTTTTTCAATTAGTATTATTTAAATATTTTTATTAACTTTTTAGTATTTTTTACGAATTTTTTATTATTTTTTATTGTTTTTTATGAATTAAAACATTTCAATAGCAACAAGGGTATATTTGTCCAACACACACACATAATTAGTCCTATCAAAACATAGTTTACTTTTTTTTCCTATTTATGCAAAGTGAGAAGCTTAGCTTTTAGTCCTATTTTGACAATTAACCTAAAATTTGTGTTCAAGTTAAAACATCAAGTCCAAGACCATAAACTAATCTATGCCACTACAAATTTTTGTAACACGTTACTCTTCCCGTCCCAAATTGATAGCCTCATTACAAATTTTGAGGATTCAACAATGACATAGTCAACTTCTCTGTGAAAACATGGTAAGTAAAAAGAAATTATTCAAAATAGAAGTAAAACATAGACAAAGTTCTAAAATATGGATGCTTGAGTCTTACTTTGGGAAAATATGGTGCGTGCACCCATTTGAGAAAATTTGTCCAATTACAAATTATATAATTAAAAACTATAGATACTAAAGTTTTATTATTGAATAGAAAATTTTAATATGAAAGAAACTTGGATTTGATTTAATTTACCAATATATTAATTATTTTGAGTTCTAATATGTGTGTTTGCATGATATATATATATAGGAGTTGCCAGAGCACCAACGAGGTGATGCGGTTAGCTCAATGGTGTACGAGGCAAATGCAAGGATGATGGATCCAGTGTATGGTTGTGTTGGGGCTATTTCAACACTGCAGCAACAAGTTGATGTTCTCCAAACACAATTAGCAATTACACAAGCTCAAGTGGTGCGTATGAGAATGAGACAGTTCTCTTCCCTCTCCAATGGTGGTTCACCCTCCAACTCACAAGAAACTGCTTCACCATCTTCTTCTAGGCACACTCGTTCTAACCATAATGGGGACCCTTTTAGCATGGACATGGTGGTGGACCAACGCAATGTTAGCACTTCCTTGTGGTGATCAATGCCAACATGCCACTACAAAGAAAACACGAGATTGAAGGAGATTTTTGGTAGGAATTCGCTAAAATTCATAGAAAATTTGGCAGTGATATGTCAAATCCGTGCCAAAAGCATTTTGACACGAAATCATCGGTCAATTCGTGCCAAATCTGTGTCAATCCCGTAAATTTTTTTGTAGTGTGCATGCATGTAAGCATGCAGCGTACATGCATATCTAGTATCTCTCTAATATTTTATAAGTATCATTCAGAGTAACTTTGTTACTTTATGTTGTACACTTTGAGATACACATATTATTATCATTATGTGTATCTCTGTATTCATAAACTTTTTATCATCTTGACTATACGATCTAGAAAAAATTCTTAAAATAGAACTACAAACAAACAATGTGATGATTTAAAGAAATGTAACTGACGTTAATAAGAAATGTAACAGCCGCTAACAAGTGATGATTTCATTCTCCAATAGCAGAATGATGTTACTCATGTATAAAGAAATGTAACTGACTCTAATAAGAAATGTAACTGCAAAGCAAGTGGAAATGTAACTTGTCTAATACAAATTATAAGAAATAAAACATTGATTTCAATGAAAACAAAAAGTCTAATTTCTCAATCACTTTAAGTAAATAGTGAATGTGTTTTTTTAATATTAAGGCCACAAATAATGTTTTTTCTTAAAATCATATTTTGTTTGCCAAATGAATCATTTTTTTTTGCAAAAAAGTGAATTTTTGTTTCAATAATGGGGCCTTTCTTAAATAGTGAATATGTTCTATTTTTAATATTAAGGCCATAAAAATGTTTTTGAAAAATTACTTGTTTTGCCAAATAAATCAGTTTTTTGCTAAAACCCCAATATTTTTTTTTTGCAAAAAAATGATTCTTTTGTTTCAATAGCAGGGCTTTATGTTGTGATGTAACCCGTGCTATGCAAAATGTAACTCGCGTTAATGGAAAATCTAACTTAGGTGTATGCAAAAATGTAACTTTTGAAGACAACAAGTCTAAATGTAACTCGCATATAGGAAGATATAACTCACACGTAAAAAAGAAGTAACCCGCACATAAAAAGATGTAACTTCATATACTATCAAATGTAAACAATGAAAATAAGGAGTCTAATTTCTCAAATTAATTTACGTAAATAGTTAACATGTTTTTCTTTTAGTATTAAGGCCATAGAAATGTTTTGCCAAAAAAAATCATTTTTGTTTTCAAAAAAATTGATTTGTTTTTTGTTTCAATAGCTGAAGTTTATTTTTTATTGTAACTCAGTAACCCGCGTTGATGGAAAATTTAACTTAGATGTATGCAAAATGTAACTTGTTGAGCCTAACAAGTGATAATTTCATTCTCGAGTAGCAGAATGATGTTACTCATGTATAAAGAAATGTAACTGACGCACGCTAATAAGAAATGTAACTGCAAAGCAAGTGGAAATGTAACTTGTCTAATAGAAATTATAAGAAATAAAACATTGATTTCAATGAAAACAAAAAGTCTAAATTCTCAATTACTTTAAGTAAATAGTGAATGCGTTTTTTAATATTAAGGCCATAAATAATGTTTTTTTTAAATCATATTTTGTTTGCCAAATGAATCATTTTTTTTTTTGCAAAAAAGTGAATTTTTGTTTCATTAACGGGGCCTTTCTTAAATAGTGAATATGTTCTATTTTTAATATTAAGGGCATAAAAATGTTTTAAAAAATTATGTGTTTTGCCAAATAAATCAATTTTTTGTTAAAAAACCAATATTTTCTTTTTGCAAAAAAATGATTCTTTTGTTTCAATACCAGGGCTTTATGTTGTGATGTAACCCGTGCTATGCAAAATGTAACTCACGTTAATGGAAAATCTAACTTAGGTGTATGCAAAATGTAACTTGTGAAGACAACAAGTCTAAATGTAACTCGCATATAGGAAGATGTAACTCACGCATAAAAAAGAAGTAACCCGCGCATAAAAAGATGTAACTTCATATACTATCAAATGTAAACAATTAAAATAAGGAGTCTAATTTCTCAAATTAATTTACGTAAATAGTTAACATGTTTTTCTTTTAGTATTAAGGCCATAAAAATGTTTTGCCAAAAAAATCATTTTTTTTGCAAAAAATTGATTTGATTTTTTGTTTAAATAGATGAAGTTTATTTTTTATTGTAACTCATGTTATGAAAAAATGTAACCCTCGTCGATGGAAAATTTAACTTAGGTGTATGCAAAATGTAACTTGTTGAGGTTAACAAGTGATGATTTCATTCTTCAGTAGCAGAATGATGTTACTCATGTATAAAGAAATGTAACTGACGCTAATAAAAAATGTAACTGCAAAGCAAGTGGAAATGTAACTTGTCTAATACAAATTATAAGAAATAAAACATTGATTTCAACGAAAACAAAAAGTCTAATTTCTCAATTACTTTAAGTAAATAGTGAATGTGTTTTTTTAATATTAAGGCTATAAATAATGTTTTTTTCTTAAAATCATATTTTGTTTGCCAAATGAATCATTTTTTTTTTGCAAAAAAGTGAATTTTTGTTTCAATAACGAGGCCTTTCATAAATAATGAATATGTTCTATTTTTAATATTAAGGCCATAAAAATGTTTTTAAAAAATTACTTGTTTTGCCAAATAAATCAGTTTTTTGCTAAAAATTCAATATTTTTTTTTGCAAAAAATGATTCTTTTGTTTCAATAGCAGGGCTTTATGTTGTGATGTAACCCGTGCTATGCAAAATGTAACCCACGTTAATGGAAAATCTAACTTAGATGTATGCAAAATGTAACTTGTGAAGACAACAAGACTAAATGTAACTCGCATATAGGAAGATGTAACTCACGCATAAAAAAGAAGTAACCCGTGCATAAAAAGATGTAACTTCATATACTATCAAATGTAAACAATGAAAATAAGGAGTCTAATTTCTCAAATTAATTTACGTAAATAGTTAACATGTTTTTCTTTTAGTATTAAGGCCACAAAAATGTTTTGCTAAAAAAATCATTTTTGTTTGCAAAAAATTGATTTGTTTTTTGTTTCAATAGCTGAAGTTTATTTTTTATTGTAACTCATGTTATCAAAAAATGTAACTCGCGTTGATGGAAAATTTAACTTAGGTGTATGCAAAATGTAACTTATTGAGGCAAGTCTCAATGTAACTTGCACATAGGAATATGTAACTCATGCAGCACAAGACGATGTAACACGCTCATAACAAGATGCAACACCAAATACTATCAAATGTAATTCCAAAAATTATCTATACACATAACTCACACATATGAAATATGTAATATAATTTCATGTTTTATGAAATTTAATTCGAAATAAACAAATTAAAACACTAAAAACATATAAAAGAGATAAGATTTTTTTTGCAAAGAGATAAGAAATATATTATAGAAAAAGTTTATGAATCAAAAATATAAAAAATATTACAAAAAAATATACTCTATTGTTATTTCAGTTGAAAATAAATAAAAAGTAGAAAAATTGTATGAATATGAAATACAATATACTTATTTTATTTAGATTAATAACAATTTGGTAAAAAAATGTGTATGAATATAAAAATATTGCACAAATAAAAATTGTGTATGAATATGAAATGTAATATACTAATTTTATTTCGATTGATGAACTTTTAGGTATGTATTGATAAAGAATAAAAAAAATACATTCAATTATAATTTATGTTGATGATAAAGAAAATTAAAATTACAATTAAATTTTTAGTATTTTAATTTGATAGCATGGAAAAGGAGAAGAAATGAAGAAAAGAAAAAATAAGAAAGAAAAGGACAAGAAAAAGAACGTATGATGCTCCAGGAACAAAAAATGAAAGCAATGGGTTAAAGTGGGATCGACACACCATGCAGAAGATGAGCCGATCTCACGGTATAATTTGCCCTATATTACGACTTAGTATATTATTATTATTATTATTTACCGTATTATTGTATGTAATGGGTCTGGCTGATTGTATAGGTTTGTATAGTTTCCCTAGCTCAGGACTCTTGTACTATAAATATTTCCTCTACTCATTAATAATACATACAACTTCTCACCCTAATATGGTATCTAGAGCCACACTCTAAAAGAGCTAAAACACCTAAAACAATTTTTTTCCGGCCGATTACCGAAGCCGCATCTAGGGTTCCGTGCCGCCGTCGTTCCTTCGTTCTCTGTCAAGATATGGTGCTCAACGCCGACTCCACCGTGATCACTATCACGGCCTCTACGCACTTCCCTATCAAACTTACCTCATCCAACTACCCTGTTTCGAAATCCCATGTTTTTACTGCTCTCATTCGACTTGGCCTGGAAGACTACGTTGATGGAACCCTTACACCACCATATCGTCACCTTGGTGCTGATAAATCCACTCTGAATCTGGTATATCAAATTTGGTACCGCCAGGACAAAACTATTCTGAGTGCTCTTCTAGGCCGTTGCTCCGACAATATCCAACCTATTATCTCTTCGGCCAGCACGACTAAGGAGGCATGGGATCGCCTTTCTCAACCCTATGCCGGTTTGTCTCGTGGTAGAATTATGTCGCTTAAGTCTACCTTTGCTAAAACTGTTAAAGGCACAAAATCCATCACTGAATACCTTGCCGAGATGCAAGGACTTACTGAAGCTTTGGCCCTCTCTCCAAACCCTATATCCGAAGAAGATCTTGTCATTGGCATTCTCAATGGCCTTGGCCCGGAGTATTCAGATATTTTCGCTGTTGTTCGGGTTCGGGAGACCGCCCTTCCGCTCACTGCACTCCAGGATATCCTCCTTGAGCACGAAGCCAAGAAGGGCGTTGTGAACTCGACTTCCCTGCCACTGCTCCCCACAGTGAACTACACCTTCGGACAGCGAGGAAACCGCGACGTGTCTGGCCAGAGAGACAGTGACCATCAGGGCGACCGCCGTGGTGGCTATTCTGGCCACCGAGGTCGTGGACGTGGATCGTACGTTCTTGGGGGTGGCCTTGGAGCTTCTCGACAGATCCAATGCCATTTTTGTGAGAACATCGGACATGATGTTAAAGACTGCCGCAAACTTCAGCGTTTTCTTTGGAACCATAATGTTATACCACAGCCGGGTCCGCATGCCAACTATGTCTCTGCTCCTTCTCCCATGCAGCATCAGTCATGGCTCTTTGAGAGTGATGCGTCTCATCATGTCACGTCTGATGTGTCTCAATTGCCC